TTACAGTATTTATTGTCTCTATCAATCAGGTGTTATTTTTCTTAATTTGATCACTGACACCACTGCTGTACCAATTAATATTTTTAAAAAATAAATATTGCATTACGGGGTTGTGAAGATTGGTAAGTTACACATTTTTGAAACCATGAATCGATCGATGTTAGACCACCAATAGAAACCTGTTCGGCTGTAGGCAGTGTCTACCGAAGACTGTGTATGAGGTTGCACAAGTCCATGAATTGATCAAGTTAGACATTAACACCGTTAGATACCGGCTCAGTGGTCTATCGGTTAGGGCGTTCGCGCACAATACCGAAGGTCCTGGGTTCGGGGTGCAGGAGTTGTGGATGCGCACTGCTGAGGAGTCCTATACTAGGACGAAACGGCCGTCTTTCAGTGCTTCCAGGTTTCTAATGGTGGTCTAACATTGATCGATTCATGGTTTGGAAAATGTGTAAAAATAAATATTGACAAGACTAAAACTAGTGTATGTGCGTGTGTATGTAAGCAAAAACAAATCGAGTCATTATGTTGTGTAATTTACTACTTAATTAATTATTTCAGTAAGTGTGTAATTATGTTATCAACCAATAGATTATAATACATATATGAAGAGTGATAATTCAACTAAATACAATATTCTTCTCAATTGCATCCTTCATCAAAGCAACATTGAACAATTGCTTTTACAATGATTTTATCAATACTATGCTCATATTTAAACATTTTATCCAATGCTGTTTGCCTAATAAGATTTTCAACCAACTAATTAATGTACAACAGTTGATTAATAGTGAAGATGATAGGAATAAATTGAAAGCAATTGAAATTATTGAATATTGAATAGAGTACCTGTCATGTAGTAAGTATGTTAATTCAATAGAGATGGAGAGATTCAAATTGCTGCGATCAAGTGACATTAGACAGGATGATACGATAACAAATTTGTGTGTTGACGAATAACTAGGTTCTTTTTTGAAAAGTATTCCTTCACCTGTGCTCAGTCATCGATTGTAACCTGTGCCCAAAAATCGAGACAACAGTATCAGTCGATGATAATCGATGATGTACACGTTACAACAGTACAAAGTAATTAAAACTTTGAACTGAACCATCATTGTCTGTTGTCTTGATCGTTGATTAACAGTTTTCTAGCTGCCTATTCGTATTCTTAATCTTTTCCACCCAAATTACTAAATTATATCATTTACTTACTGTGCTTCATTGAAAATTTGCTTCAATTTCTTTTGGTCGTTTCCCGAAAATCACTGAAGATTGCTTGAGATAATACCTTCTGTTTAGCGTTTTTTTGGGGGGCAAGTTAGTTTTTGACGGAATGAGGTCGCCAACCCACCTATGTCCAACCCTCCTCCTTTACCTGGGCTTGGGACCGGCAGTAGACCCGAAGGTTCTACTGGCGGAGTTTTGAGATAATAAATACCTCTTACTTTCATCCGATTCACACTCTGCCTAAACTACATATTTTCTTCTTTTTATATCATCATAAATAATATTGTTTATATTTTTAGAATGTTAATTTAATAAAACAAACTACCTCCACCGAAGCTAATTTAATGCCGCCGCCGCCACCGCCTCCGCCAACAGTTGATGTTGTAGATTCACATTCTATTACTGGTAGTAGTAGTAATATTGTTTGCATTGATTCATTGGATGATAAAATGAACATTGCCGATAATCAATCAGTAATTCTTCGTAAAGAATCATCAACAAAACCTCCATATAAAACAGATCTACCACTTTCTTCAATTGGTCCATTTCGTCAAGTGAGTAATGATTCACCAGTAATAGCCAATTCAAAATCATTACCAATGAATAGTCATAAATTAAGTATTAATTTACCAATATTACCGGCGGCTATTGTAGACAATCGACCGACACGTTCATCTACTTCATCGTTTCGTTTACCGTCCACAGCAGCAACAATGCTACATTCGGATATGAGACAACAATTGCAACTGCAACAACAACAAGAGGTGTGTTTACCTATTTATTTTATATATATATTACGTAATTTTCTTTGAATTTTGATGTAGTCCTCCGTTGTTTACTTATAATATATTAATGCTGATCATAGGCATTGTTTTTGTGTTTTTTTACAAATAAACTCTTTTTTGTTACACATTTGAAATCATTAATCAATCAATCATTGTTAGACAGAGCACCATTAGAAACCTGGAAGCACTGACAGACGGCCGTTTCGTCCTAGTATGGGACTCATTAGTGGCAGTGCGCATCCACGACTCCTGCACCTCGCAGGATTCGAACCCGGGACCTTTGGCATTGTAGGCGAACGCCTTACCATCGGACCACTGGACCGGCATCCAATGTTGATTAATGATTTCAAATGTGTAACGGAAAAAAAATCGCAAACCACCAAAACTGTGCCCCAATATATCGTAACAGTGCTCACTAGTGACTAGCTTCGTGAGGAAATTCTCGGAGTTCTAGTTGAGAAGACGTGACCAGTGGAGTTTAACCCTGTCGGGTGTAGGCAGTAACTACCAAAGACAAATGGGTGAGGTTGCGCAAAATCCCTAGATCAATCAGAGTTAGACATACACACCGTTGGATGCCGGCCCAGTGCTCCGATGGTTAGGCGTTCGCGCACAAGACCGAAGGTCCTGGGTTCGAATCCTACGAGATGCAGGAGTTGTGGATGCGCACTGCCACTGAAGAGTTTCACACCAGGACGAAACGCCCGTCCAGTGCTTCCAGGTTTCTAATGGTGGTCTAGTAACAATGATGATTGATTAATGATTTCAAATGTGTAACAAAAAAAAGTCGCAAACCTCCAAAACTGTGCCCCAAAATAAACTCTTATTTTTTTTTCATCTTTCTTCATGCATGACAAATTCTCATCTTCATTATTTTATATATTTATTGATTTATTTATAAATTTGTTTTTATTTTTTTATTCCCGAATGAATAAACTTTTATGAATTATATTCTCTATGATAATACATTGTTTGTTTTTTCCTGTTCATACCTAATGTTTAATTATATTTCCCGACCGAAGCTCTAACCTTGACGTGGTGGTCGGGCTTGCCTATCGTGATGACCCAACCGAGCTATACTGGCTGGAACATATGTTCCTGCAAGTCCTACCATGCCAGCCAGGTCGATTGGAGAACGATAAGACTAAAAGCAGCTACCCAGGGTCTGAGGGCGAAGTCGTACTGCTGACTGATTGTGGAGGGGTGTGACAGCAGTAAGGTGTTTCCCTCGGACAACCAGCATCTGCGGCGATGCTACCTTCTCACAAGGAAGGAAGTGGTTAGAAAAGGTCGACCCTAAAAATGTCACACCTCACCCTACCTCACGGATTTCCGTCTCCTTGGGTAAGGGTGCCCACTAAGGGCCTTTAAGAACGGAGCTAATCCTCAAAAAACGTTTCATAAAAAGGCCGTGCGTGACCGGCCTTAAGCAGTTGTCCCTTGGACTCTGCGGTCACGGTCCCAGGTCGTTAAGACCAACACTAATGTATCTTCGTTTTCAGGTTCCTCAAGAAACAACCTTCGACGGTGTGGGCACCCGGGAAGTGATTACCGCCCTCATACCCGCAATAGCACACGAGACCAAATTGTTCAAAATTTAATTATATTTATAGTTTAAAACACAAGAGTCAATTTTGTTTAGATCACCATTGGAAACCATGAAACATATCCTAACTGTTTCACTTGAGCATGAGATAACTCACACAGTTCTTATTCACAACCCCCTAAAATCTTTTGAATGCTTAATCTCTTTCGACCATTAAGTCGATATTTTATGATGTTACCTACCTGTCTAACTTCAATCAGGCAGTCCATGATATTTGCGTTGCTATCTTCCCGCTTTTAACAACTGATAGTTTTGTCTCATATTATCTTGGTAGAACTCTACAGACTAATCTTTCTCCTTAAAACTGAAAGGGGTTTGTCACTAGTGATCACACGACTATTATCAGTCTACTGTTTCCTGCAGAATTTTTGAGATTTCCATTGTTTAAACCATGAAATGATCTTTGCTAGATCAGTGCGCAACCATCGGGAATCAAACCCGGTGTAAAAATAAACTATTAACTTATTTCATGACTTGTATTCTTCCTCATATGTAATCAGTTAAGAGCGCGTTTGATCAGTCTATATATAAGCGGAAGTTGAAGTGTTAACTTATTCGACAAATTAATCTAGGATTTAAAAGTATACACAGAATCAATCAATCACCGGCATATGACGTGAAACGAATATTTACCAGTTCAAGTTATTATCACACTAGTACACACATATCAAGATAACAAACAAGAAGGGCTACTCACAAGTCGAATATTCAAACGCAAATATCTCATCACATCAACTAAAATGTGGACATTTGAGCATGATGTATACTTATTGAATGATGAAACTGTTGATTTACTGATTTCCCAACACCTCTAAAATGCAAACCTCCCAGTTCGGTTGATACGCCAATCTGTCTTCCAACTACTATTCCATAATGGTTCACATCAAGTAGTAAACTTCATGTATATTTGTTGATCGGATGTTTTGAATGACTCCCTTGATTTCTAACGTACTCTTATGTCAGCTAGCATTACGAAATTGCAGTAATTCTAACAGAGATACCTTCTGAGGTTAAATGACCAATTATGTTCTTATTGTATTTGTATTGTATAATAAGAGATAATCAAGTTTTAACTGAATTGTCAACTGGTCACGTATATCATATCTTTCTGTGTGTGTGTGTGTGTGTGAGTTGCAATTAATTTCTTTGCATGCTTTGTATTAATCACTCAATCAATCAATCAATCGATCGATCGATCAATTAGGTGTTGTTTTTTTTTCATCTTACTGATTTCTGAGTTGTTTTTTTTCTCTCTCTTTCTTCATGTGGTATGCATGTTGATGATTAACCACTAAAAAATATGTGTGTGTGTGTGTGTTCACTTAAGATGATGATTAGTTTGCAATAATCATAATCACTACACAAAACTGCATTGTATGATGATAGATATTAAACTTTATTCGGTGTAATGAAAAATTCTTAATTAAATTTTGGTGAAAATTAATTGTTAATTAGATAGATAGATAGATAGATAGATAGATAGATAGATATGTTTAAATTTTTATG